ATGATCCTGCGCCTACGAAAATCAACAATTAGCCCAAAAAAATTCAAGAAGTCGGCGCCAAGGATTGGGCTCGGAACGTCGGCGTAACGGAATTTTCAAGGAAAGCGACGTTTAAGACGTAAATGAAGAGCCATATCAACTTCACCGTAGGTGTTGATGGTTGAATTGTTGGCCGCAAAGAGCTTAAAGTTCGAAGGTTTGGCATTGGGATCTGTCTTAGGAAGGAGGGAGATTTCCGCTCCTGTGTCAACCAAGAAGACTTTGCCAGAGTCGATATCCCGAATGTGGAAGCGTTTTGAAGTTGAGGTCCCACTCGACGCTTCTACACGAGAGGGAGAGTCTAGTTTTCCGGTGATTTTCTTGGGCAATTGCCACCCTTACAGAAGCGAGCTTTGTCGCTGAATTTTTCATGATAATAACAAAGCTGATCACCGGTGGGTTTCTCCGGGTTGCTTTAGCTTCTGTTCCAGTTAGATTTTTCGTAATTTTGCGACTGGGAGCGGTTTCGCCGCGGAGTTTTATGAGGATCGGGAGCATTACCCATAATAATGTCTAACTGCTTTTTGAGATCGTCGACGTTAAAAGACAGCTGCTCTAGAGTGTCGAAAGACTTGTCGTCCATTGAAGAAATCTGAAAATGACCAGCCGATACTTTAGCTCGTAGAGCAGAAATTTGAGAGGAGATTGAGGTAGCTGCGTCACTGTGGGTATTATGTGAGTTGACAGACGAGACATTGGATCCATCAGGTGGAAGAGCAGCATAAAAGCGGTCAGCCGCCTCGGCTAACAGTGTCAACGAGGTTATGTTGTGAGTGGACAAAGCAGCGCGACAGGTGGGGGAAAGTTGCTCCAGAAAAACCACTCGGAGGATGTCGTCCCCGCAACCAGTCTCCAAGGCACGCATGCGAGCTAGAATGAGCGAAGGTTTTCCCTCAAGCGAGACCTGATTTCGCAATAATTGACGGAGGCGTTCTTCCGCTGATCCGCCGTATGTATCCAGCACGCCCTTTTTTAATTGCTCGTAGAGATCTGCTGGACTCGGGGTTAGATTTAACAAATCGAGCGCGCAGAGAACGTGATCTCCAAGCTTTTCCGCCACAAAATCCGCTTGCGTCACCGAATTTGTTATTTTTGCATTTCGAAGAGAGATTTCCGCAAGAGTGAACCAAGCATTCGGGTTGGTTCCATTGAATAGCAAGATTTTGGGCGCGTGGTACGCTGCTACGTTTGCCGGGGGGTTACCGGAATTTTCGGTAGGCTGTGGTGTACGTTCGAGTTCGGCAATTTTATTGTTTGCTGTAGCTAGCTGTGCTATCAGCTGATCGAATTGCTCTTTGGTCACTTCCATAATTGTTACAGAATAAATAGAGCACGCAAAACAAAGAATAAAAAGATTAAAATGAAGATTAATCCGTTAAAAAAATAAAATGTCGGAGTGAGCAATAACAGTAAAACGCAGTTAATATAAAAATTTTCGGATCAGTGAATCACAATTATACGATTTGCTCGCTTACTATTAAAAAATGACATTTGTTTATTGTAACCAGTGGAAACGCAAAAGTGTTTAAAATTGAATTGTTCACATCCGAAAATAATGTAAGATTACAACAGGAATATCGAATTCGCAATGAAAAGTAAGTAAAAAGCACGTATAAATAATTCCTTCTTGGAATAGCGACAGTTGTCAGCAGCGCGAGAGACGATGTGTACGTGTACCTGTGACGAGTTGTTATGCTCCTTAGGTTGAGCTCGTGGCGATGATGCGAACGATGCCTGCTGTGCAGAAGGTTGAGAAGGCAATGACGAATGAGAGTAGGCTTGCCTGCTTATCAGTCCTGAGGATGATGGCCCTGAGCCTGAAGATCGCAGCGTGGCTTGTTTGTCGCTTGTTTGCTCGCTCAGCGTGATCCTGGTGTAGTGTCACGTTGTTTAATTGTCGGTGTCACCGATTTGGGGTATTTGCTAGGTGGTCAGTACTGCAGTGCTGTAGGTCACCAAGCCAGAAGGAAGGCAGCCCCAAATTCTCCCGTGTTCATGAGATTCACCAGGAGGTGAATCGGGTCAGGATAATGATGTACTCTTTTAGTTATTAAACGACAACAACTTATTTATTCAATATGCAAAGTTACATGTGCCTAGTGGCACGAGCTATGAGTATAGCCCGGAGCGAGTCCGCTTGAGTGGCGACTGAGCGAGAACTGAATTGCGCAGCGGCGCAGCTCGACAAAGACGATTGGAGAGAGGCGCGCAGGGAGAGGGGAACGCCGCTGTTCTTGTCCGACGGGACAGAGTCCCCACACTTGCAAGTGCCCGGATTTCATGTTGGTTAATATATAAGGGCGTTTAAGATTGAGCTAGGGTATCCCCATCGATATAGGTGTCTAAGGTCTAAGGCAGGGAGCACGTCATCAGCCTTACTGATGAGTCCTGGCGTGCTCCCGGGACGAAACATCAAGTACCCTCTTCTCTCTTTTCACGGCATCACCGATCGCCATACGAGAAGGTCGAGTGACATGGTTAGACGCCTAGCGGATGGTTGAAGAAGGACGGAGAGCCGAAGTGTACATGTGTGTGAGAGGGTCCCCACACTACTGCATGGGGAAGTATATATATAGTTTGCCCGGTGGAAATGTAGTCAGAAATTGTTTAAGGTGGTTCTTCACGATGGTGCCGTATCAAAGCGACACGGGAACCTGTGGTTTTATAATTTTCGATAAGCGTATTATTTGCAACATAAACTATGTTGTACTTTCACTTGACTATAATATCATTGCATTTACATACCAATAAACAAGCTTATAAAGTTAGAGTAAGAGTTATAAAAAAATTTTTTTTTGACGCAAGGTTCTGAAAATGGCATGGACGCTCCTACTTAAGCTGACGTTGCCGCCGATTTATGCATGTACCTATATATACAATCTTCGAGCGTCGTCTGCCGCACAAACGTAACCCCTTCACTTTTGTTTTTCTTTATTGAGTTATAAAGATACATCATCATGAAGAATAATAAATAAACTGTCAAAGGTAGGAATCACTCATGAGGTTATGCAACAGGCTTTCGACAAAAATAAAAGAGAAGGTTTACGTTTTCTGTTTACTGAAAATGTTGAAGGGAAACCGAGAGTCACAAAAAATTCTGCAGTCATAGAAAAAGTATACAATTTCTTTGAAAATAAATAGTACTACAAATGGCCATATTATTAAATTAAACATTATGTTGCATGATATTTCAATTATCTTATATATATAAGTACTTACTTTTATTATTTATGAGTTATCAATATATTCAGAACTAAATATTGATATGCTTCTTGTTATGATTACCTTATGTACGTTTTTAACACAAAAATAAACTCTAATTTTCATTTTCAACAAATAGTAATCATAACATAATTTTACTGATTGTCTTACTGCCATATTAGTGAGTCATTTTAAATTTGCGCGCGCGATCCGAGCGTCTGCTCGTTTACACGGCAGACATTTCGCTCTCGCTGATCAATAACTGATTTCGTTTACGATTAAATATCGTTTACTATTTCCCTGATAAGCCCATACTTTTGTTATATTATTAGAAAGCTGAAAAGTTCTTCTTTTACTACAAACTTTTTTTATTACGATTTTAAGTCTACTTTACGAGATATTACATGATATCGTCGTATGGAAAAGTAACCTACATAAGAATACATGTTAAAAGTGCATTTTTTGACTGACTTGTTTTCGCCTGATAAAGGGACTTGAAATTTTAAGAGAAGATGCCTTATAACTTTAATAACAATCCCTCCAAGTTTCCCTGAAAGTTGAAGTAAATGGGTTAGGTGAAGAACCACCTTAAGCAAATTTTTTTAACAATTTATAAGAATTAATTTTTTCGAGAAAAAAAATTGCTCCTTATTCTTTAGCTCATTCTTAACAAAAAATCAATTGGGATGCATATACCTAAACCCCATAGATTTTGAGTAAAAAATTCCTCAAGTTTAAGAAAATGCGTTTTTGCGATATTTGATCACGTGTTACTCAGCTATTGGTGCATTATTTGTAACTTACCAGGGCTCAAATTTTACCTTGAAGCGTGCACTTTTAGATAAAGAAAGATTTATAAACGTTAGCTGCTTGTCAAGATCGGTATTGTTGATCTAAGCATAGTCGTTTTTGTACCTACCATCCATGAATGCGTATATCTGAAGGAGAGGAAAATCAACAGGAAAAATTAATTCTTGGGGTGAATAATGAGAAATTGTATTGACTGTATATTGCATTTTAAGCTTCAAAGAAGACGTTCAAATTTTTGTACATTAAAAAACATTTTCATGATATCGCTTTAGAAACCTACAAATAGCAAAATCCGTGTTTTTCACTCAAAATTTATTCACTTAAAAGTCTTTTTTCTTACGAATTTATTGATTTTTTGAAAATTGTTAGAAAAAAAATTGTTTGAACAATTTCTGACCGCATTCCCACCTAGCAAACTGTACTTCCCCATGCAGTAAGTAGCACATTTTTAACAAGATGGTGCAAAAAAATTGCGGGCGAATTAATTTTCCCGGTCGATTGCTGATTTCGCCCCGTCTAAAATTACCCGCATTCGTTTGCTACGTATATGTACATATCCACGAGAAAATTGTATCTGCATGTTAATTAGTATATACCTAACATAGCAGTTCCTCGTGCATATTCATAAGTGGAATGAAAAGAGGTATTTCCTACATAATACAAAAGACACTGCACTGCAAGATATACTCTGTGTGTAATGAGTTTTCACCCCTTTGGTTGATTTCTATATATCATAATTCATGTTAGAGGTTTATTTCACTACTGATACTAAAGAGATTCATGCAAAAAAAAAAACATAATTTTTTTTGGGAGGGGGGATTCCAAAAAGTACCCAATTGGTGTTTATAGTTAAATTTTGTTGTTAATTACTGCGTTGTGCGTTGAGGTAACTTGCTGTACAGACCCTAATCCTTCTAAGTATAACCGCTCTACGTGTAAATTTACTCAATGGATGATTCTTCGTCTCTTACGACGTTAGCACGTCTCATTGTTTCCATCACTTAAATATACTTAAAAAATATTTAACCTATTTTTGTTAATTTTTGTGCTGTATTAATCATAGAGATATAAATGGCTCATATCACTATGTTATTAACTATGTGTCAATAGAGTGGCATTGAGCATTGGGTAGGTTCTAAAGCGGGCTTTTGACTGCAACCTTAGTTGCAACCGTTCCAGCTGAGCTGCAGTTTTCATAAGCTAGAGAGGAGATAAGAAATCAACCATTTTATATCAACTGTAAATATTTACCATTCAAGCTGATCAATTTTTTCGATAGCCTCTTTTAATTCTAAAGTGCGCTGTTATGGTGGTGGAACGCAGGAAAAACAAGAAGAGCCGCAAAGATGTGAGTACTTTTCATCACCTGTTTGGTTATAGAGCTACTTACTACATACCAAGTACTGAGAGTGTATTCACTCTTATCATGTAGTAATCTTCTGTATGTAATAGTATACTAAGAAAGTCTTGCAAATTTTCCTGTATCTACAATATATTTAAATGATTGTACTTTGCCATACCAATAACCCACCTTCTCTTAAGTGCAGTTATTTTATTCTCATAGATAGTCCATCATTTCCTGGACTTCATTTAAATAATTAAACTAAAACGTTATTTCATTCAAAATTTGCCAACAGCTGATTGTATAATTATTATAATTAATTCTATTATGCTGGAAAAGAATTCATGATTGAAGGGTGGCACAAGTGTATACACTTGGGTTGGTGAAAGAAAATATGCAGACAGTATGATTCATGGACTCTGTACTTATTTCCCTACATCCAATTATTAACAAAGAGACTTCTCTAGTTTATGCTGAGTTTATTGTGTTTCATAATTGTAATGTTCCTGTAATAGCTGTTGTGTTCTTTGACTTTTTTTTGTAAAATGTTAATGCTAGTATAAAATTACTGTGTTACTGAATGCCATCTTTATATACATTATTTAGGTTGCATTACTGTGAATGCATGAGTAATATTAGCAATGTTATTGAATATTGCTCTATTTCTACATTTTGTTCATTTTTAGAGAAGTTTGGACAATCTTAAAAAACGATCATACATATAAAATTTGTGTAATTCACGTAATGGTCGTGAATAAACACGGTTTTCCATTTTATTGGTTTAAAAATATTTCAAATACATATTGCCTTTGAAAAATTCTAATGGTTTTTTCACCACTACTATTCGTATACATGCACTGGCAAATTAAAATGTCATTTTAGGAAGGATCTGAAGAGTCAGTTATTGCTGACAAACCTTCTAAAGAAGAATATGCTGTAGCAAAATGGATTCGCAACAACGTTCCATCGAAAAAAACAAAATTTGATAGAAACCACATTGTAGAATATTTTACTGGCAGCAGAGCAGTTGATGCTCTTCTAGAAAAGTCACCATGGAATAATACTCTATTTGAATCAAGACAGCATATTGTTGACTTTTTAGAAACTATGTTGAGACACAAATTTTTTCATAGAGCAAAAAAAATAGTTATATCTGAAGATGAACTTTCTAGAATTAAAGCTGTTAAAAAGAAGAACAAAGATCTGAAAGACTACAAAGAAGACAAGAGATCAATAAAAGAGAATGAAAGATCTGAAGGCAAAGTTAAAAATGAAGCTGATTATTATGAGAATGGGGAAGATAAGTATAAAAAAGATGACTCAACAAAGAAAAATGTAACAGAAGTGATTAAAAAAAAGCCAAAAGTATGTCGTTGTTTGATTGCTAAAAAGCAGCATTTATAATTTTGTTTGTTGACTAACATTACAGTAATTTAATGTTTATAACTTTGTTTAAGGTTAGACTCGAAATGCATATGGATCAATTTTTTGTAGATTGCAATGATGCTTATGTCTGGATATACGAGCCTATACCTGTTTACTATTGGTTTTTTGGTACATTATTAGTTTTGGGAGCTATTAGTGTCTGTCTATTCCCATTGTGGCCTCAGACAGTTCGTCATGGTGTTTGGTACCTTAGCATAGCTGCTGCAGGATTCCTTGTGTTTATGCTATCATTGATAATCTTACGTTTAATTATTTTCTGTGCCTTATGGATTATAACTTTAGGTAGACATCATTTGTGGCTCTTTCCAAACTTAATAGAAGATGTTGGTTTTTTTGCATCTTTTTGGCCACTATATAATGTAAGTAATGTAATATCACAATGCACATCACATTTCAGCTAAAATAAAATATGAATGATTCCAGAATATTGTTTTCTAACATTAAATTATTACTTATAATACTTGTGTCGATGGGAATACTTGTGTTGAGGGATGGGGTCAGGCTAAATTTTCTTTGTCATGTGAGTGGCCTGGTAAGTGAATAGTCCTGTGCGCTGCGCGAACGGCAATATTAACTTTCTAGTCTCTGAAGCTTAAAAATTGGAAAATTCTAGGCCAAATGTAAAAAAACATCAGATTTTCCGCACAAGTGTCGTAACGCAAGACTATACGTGGTTGCACCACTACATTGACAACAATTTTGGAAGTATCAGACCACAAGTTTTTGAACAGTAAGACTTCAAGTAACTACATTAGTATTATTGTTTAAAATATACAGAGAAATACTAAAAGATTTGAACTTGAATACCTCCGTAAAGAATTTAAGTATCATACTACAATACTGCGAATGCCGTACTGCAAGTTTTGATGTTCCAGACTTCCGAGAAATATTGAACTGTAGGAGCGCATGGCTTGCCACGCTAAACATTAACGTTACATAGTATGGTAGAATAAGTTTTTCGGCCCATAAAATTCTAACTAGTTCTTAAAAAAATAGGGTAGTTATTTCAATGTATTATAACAAATTAAAACAGAATTTATCAAGTAGATGTGCAATTTCAAGACGAACAAAATGAGCTGCGTTGGGTTCAGATCGGTTCAGCCGTTTTTTCGCTAAAATGTCTATAAAAAAAGTTGTTAGCCAACATCGGTACATTTTTTATAGGTATTTTGCTTTGTCTATATTTACTCTACAAGTCACGTACCTAAAATGCCATTCATGTTATCTAATTAAAAGTATCTTAAACATTGATTGAAAAAAACGGCTTTTTGCTTTCCGGTCAGTGGAATCGGTGGCTCGACTAGCCGCTACTGGAAGCCTCGCCCGCTATCCACATGTATGTTTTCCTCAAGCGCGTTCAAAATGAAATGTCCTTTTTTCGCAATCAATTTTAAAGATAGTTCTAATTGGTAAAAATGAATGGCATTTTAGGTACTTATAGAGTAAACGTAGACGAAGCGAAATACGTATAAAAATTTATCTATGTTCGCTAACAACTTTTTTACGGCCATTTTTTGAAAGGACCTTTTTTCGGTTTTTGCAGCGCTTCACAAAAAGTTTAGAACCGATTCAGCTGAAATTTTGTGTGTATAGGGACAATTTATAAATATGCTTAATGAGTTAAAATGAATGGTGTTTCTGGTAGTTGTAGATTAAATTCAGACGAAGCGAAATACGTTTAAAAAGTGTACCTACGTTGGCTAACAACTCTTTTATGGCCATTTTTCGAGAGGACCTTTTTTCGATTTTTGCTGCGGTTCACGAAAAGTTTAGTTTAATCGATTAAGGTGAAATTTTGTGTGTATGACAAGGGCTATGATATATGTCTTGTGTTATAATTTCAGCTCTAAATATTAAATAGAATCGATAAAAGTTTCTAAAAATGGCAGTTTTTTGCGATTTGCGAAAAAACGGCTGAACCGATCTGAACCCAACGTGGCTCATTTTGTTAGTTTTAAAAGTGCACTTTTTTTTTTATCCAACACTTTTTCATGCACGATCCCTCGGTTTTCTTCTAGGCGTGAAAAACGTATTTTGGCCGTTTTTGCTATTTTTTGGGGGCTTTTGCTGACATTTATACATATTAAATTATGTTTCAGTTTATTATATTACATTAAAATTACTACCATATTTTTTTGATTTATATCGTTATGATTTTTAGATAATTCTACCAGACTAAAAGTTTGGCCTGTAAAGGCCTACGCAGTAAAAAATACAAGCATATGCATAGGCACAGTGCACAAGAATAACATTGGTTGGTATATATATATATATGTATCACAACGTAAAGCACACCGCGCTGTGCATCATGTATACTTACCAACTAATGTTATTCTTGTGCACTGTGCCTGTGCATATGCTTGTGTTTTTTACTGCGTAGGCCTTATGCCAGTGCGTCCACTATTTCACGTGAAAGTGTCATTACCTATATGTATGCAGAATATAGCTTACGAACTCTCACTCTTACTCGAGCAGAAATTATAAGTGGGTGGTCAGTAATACACCTTAAGACAAGCTCACGTGACCTCTGGTGGATATAACCCGAAGCTGATATCGGTGAAAAATTTGAGAGAACACGTGTACCAAGACGTTATTTTGCATATTACAAATAAAAAAGCCTTTCTTCAGTTGAGTTCCGCTATAAAATCGAGCTTTAGTCCAAATCTATTGGTTCAACACAAAGTTGCGTTATAAAAGGTCGTGTTAGAATTGCTCTACTATTTTTGGAAGTGAAACTTCTTTAAGTGCACCTTATATGGGGAGTTAACCCGTGAAACGAGCGAGCGAGCGAACGCAAACGTGCGCATATATCTATTCGCTTCGTGCAGCAATTTAGAACAACGCCACCTGCAGGAGAAAAATTGTCCATGCTAACTAATAAGAATATACAATATCTCATGGACAATGGTCTGTTACAAGCATTTATTTCAACAGTAATGTATATTTAACAACTGACGTAATTTTTTTGGGTGTTGAGTATACTTTCTAGCCGAAAAATACCTTTTTAATAATACTTTAATAAAAAAAACTTTTTTCTCCTTTTACGGTTGTATTTTGTAAGTAAGAATTACGATTTTTCTTGAATATCAATTTATTTCGTGAAATAATTTTAAATAAGAACATTAAAAAGTAATATCTATTATGCTTACTTATACACCATATCCATTTCATACTAGAAATTTACGTTTTTTCATAAAATTAAAAAAAAAAGTTTTATTTGCTATTAGCATGCTACTTGGGTCTGAAAAAATATATTTAAGTTGTTATATATTTATTATTGGTGAAATAAACACTTAAAACATATCATTGTCTATCAGATGCTGTGTATTCTTGTTAGTTAGCATCGACATCTTTTCCCCTGCAGGTAGCGTTGTTTCAAATTGCTGCACGAAGCGAATACATATATATATATATATATATATATATATATCTAGCACTGACTGCAGCGCAAAGAAACTATTCGTCTGTCTCTCTTTCTCTCTCCCTTCCCCAAACGGGTTCCAACACACACCTGAATATATTTGATTTTCGCTTACGCATAAATTTTTTAGTTGACTCTGGCTCCTCGGTATCTCTACTGTTTAAGGCCCTGTCAAGGTGAACAGAAGTTCAGCAGCCTCTGGTGCTATATACTGCCAACCACGCGCCCATCTCAACGTATGGCAAAGTGCATCTCACTCTCAATCTTGGCCTACGAAAAGATCTACAAGGTGACTTCATCTTGGCTGACGTTTCCACGGCAATCCTAGGTGCCGACTTTCTGGCCCAGCATGGTCTCCTGCTCGACTGCAAAAACCGAAAACTCGTCGACCCGTGCACCAGCCTGACCTCCAACTGCTCCGTCAAAAAAGCAAATCTCTGCTTAGTCTCCGCACTCGAATCGCCAACGGACGACCCCTTGATCCTGCGCTACGCAGCTTTACTTGACGAGTTCACCGATCTCTTCGAAGCGTCAAGCAGTCCAGCACAGATTCCTAATCTGCCCGTGAAATACACCATCGTCACTACCGGCCCAACAGTGGTCGAACGTCCCAGAAGACTAGCAGGTGAGCGCCTGGCAGCAGCCCAAAAAGTTTTTTACGGACTGTTGGACGAGGGCATCATCCGCCCTTCTAATAGCCAATAGGCCAGCTCACTCCACCTTGTGCCCAAAAAGGACGGCTCATTCCGGGTAACAGGTGACTACCGCAGACTCAACTCACAAACAGTACCAGACATGTATCCTCTGCCCATCATACAGGTCTTGCTACAGGAGAGCCCAGGCAAAGTGTTTTCAACGGTCGACCTGCAAAAAGCCTTTTATCAAATACCGGTAGCTGAGGCCGACATTGAGAAAACGTCAGTGACAACGCCTTTTGGCCTCTTTGAGTTTCTGGGCACTTCACTAGGCTTGCGAAACTCAGCCCAGTCAATGCAAAGAACGATCGACCATATTCTGCGCAAGCTGCCTTTCGCCAAGGCCTATATTGACGACATTTTTGTCGCTTCTTCTTCACACAAAGAACACCTAGGCCACCTTCGGCAACTTTTCACAGCTCTTAGAGAAGCCCAGTTCAAGATCAATCGAGAAAAGTGCACCTTCGGAAATCCACAAGTACTCTACCTGCAGAGCTCCGACGGTTCCTAGGAATGCTTAATTATTACAGGCCATGTATTCCACACGCTGCCGAATTACAGGCACTGCTACATGAATTGCTCAAAGGCCGTACTAAAAAGAAGAAGCTTCCCTAGACTGCTACAGTGGAACAAGTCTTTCAAGCTTGAAAATACTCCATCGTGAAAGCAACCTGCACCATCTTCCTGCGTCCAGGTGCGCCTCTTGTCCTAAGAACCGATGCCTCAAATTTAGCCATCGGTGCAGCACTAGAACAACAAAAGGAAGACGGCACATGGCGACCACTAGGCTTCTTCTCGTGGAAATTAGACCTGACGCAGCGCTTCTACAGTACCTTCGATCGCGAACTGCTGGCAATCAGCGCTGCTATGAGACATTTTCAAAGAATCCTAGAAGGCCGCCATTCACTACGTTCACGGACCACCGCCCGCTAATTTTTGCACACCGACAACGCTCCGACAAAGCAACACCAAGACAAGTTCGCTGCCTCAAAGTCATTTTTCTGTTTAACGCCGTGTTAATACGTGCTCGAGGCAAGGACAACGTCGTTGTAGATGCACTGTCTCGAGCATGTTTGCCCGAAAATGATCTCCCGCAACCCTCTGCTCTGACTCTGAGACCAAAGTCAACAACAACAACAACAACAACAAGCCCTCAGCCAGCTGCTGTCACCGCATCAATCTTGATGCCCTGCCGCCTCAGTCCAGAGACCATCGCAACCGCACAAGCCACCGACACCGAACT